ATTCGGATTTATCGGTATTTTCACGGATGGGTCAGATGAATTATCGTGTTTTACTCGAATCTGATGGTCTAGATTCTAGATGGCGAGAGCTCACCAAAATTAGTAAGAATCGATACTTTGCGGGAAAAATGAGGAAAGTGAATTTATCGGCTTTTGCACCTCAGTTGTATTATTGGTAGTGAGTGCAGTTCTATATGCGACGAACCTCGCAGCCACAGGCACATTACTGATAGCGACAATATACCTTACTGTGGTAGAAACTTTACTTTTAGCAAAATCGTTATTTGGTAGTGAGTGCAGTTCTATATGCGACGAACCTCGCAGCCACAGGCACATTACTGATAGCGACAATATACCTTACTGTGGTAGAAACTTTACTTTTAGCAAAATCGTTATTGCTATCATAGGATTACAATCTGCTGCTTCTATTCGAAAATGTGTAACGGTATATAATGAGATTTCTTGTAATCATAGCAAGAAATATCTCAGCAAAAACTCAAATAGTAAGATTTTCCTAAGTATGTCCATTCGGCGACTTGTCTAATTCATTTGGTGAAGTGTGATCTCCTGACATTTTGAGTTTCATTTCAAGTATATGTTGATACTTCGCCATATATTCGGAGTTTTATGGTTACTGAAAAGTCGACGAAGGCATGAAATTAACCTATACATCCTGTGAAGATGCTGTTTTCAGACTCATTAAACGTTTGATTCTGTAAACTTTGACTACTGTGATATATACGGATATATACGGTGGATATTATTGCATTATTCTATCACATGATACCCGGCGCTTTCACCAAATACATGCATGTAGTTTGGACAGGAAGGCTGATGCGTTCGCCAAAAAATACAATAATTCAACACATATCTACTTCACCACGATTCGTCCTTTCACACACATGGATGTTGACAGAATCGCAGTCTGTTTAAAATAAAATGATCTATTGTGTAGTAAGAACAATGAACAAAACAAGAAAAAATAATTGATTCCATACATAATTTTTTACTAGGTTTCAGGAAAATGTCAATATTGACTAGGAACACAGGTAAATGGAAACTATCGTCAATATTATTATTTTAATGAAGGACTTGCCTATGAAAATTGATCCTGGTTGTTTCTTAATCCTATCCTAAACAAATATGTAAATACACGGCAATTTAATAATACTATATCATTATATTATCAACTGCTGATATCACATTGAAATCACCAAGCTTGTATGTCACCAGAAGATGGCCGACTCGGCTTCACTTCATGATACATTAACAGAATAGAATAGGTGACTCTAGGATAGGTCAGTTCCTCAAATCTCTTTATTCGTAGCTCAGTCCATAGCCAGTGGTTCGGTAGTTTGGAAAAAGAAGAAGTCAACTTCAACTTCAACCTAGGCAGACAGATGACAGATGATTCGGGAACAGTGAGCAGACATTGACCACACAATATCATATTGTATCATACCTACTCGCCTTATCTATAAATGTACGAACCATGGTCATTCCATCAGGAGGGACAACAGCCGATGATTGGACAGAGCATCATCCATGATAATAGCGGTATTATAGGATAGTGACATATCTGTATCGTTCTTTCGATTTTGTGATAAGGTTGAAAGTGATCTTGTCTGAGTTGGGATATTGATGATACTGAAAGCTCTTTTTCGAACCAACTCGAATCCATCAGCATCACATTATAGAGTGTTTTGGAGCTGAAATCTAGCCACGCTAATATTAGGCAAGAATTCTAGTTTTGTAGACTGTCAAAGCTTCTGTGAGACTTCTTAGCGTCCGGAGAAAAAAATCACAGCTTCTGAAAGGAGGACTGAATATATATCATATTTATATCTACCAACATGGTCATGCCAAGAAAAACCGAGACTCCAAGCATTCCTGTCCAGAAAATATGCGCTATCAAGGTGCTGAAGAAGCTAAAGAGTGGATTGGTGGTCAACGATTTGATTTATAGTTAAAACAAGATTATGAAACCATGTGGTACTCCTGCGTTAGAAGACAGCGCTGAAAAGGCGAACACGCCCACAACCACAACCCAACCTGGAGAAACCTGTTGGGGAAGCTGAAAGCTTTGGAAATTTTACAGGTTGTCTTCCAAAACATATCACATATTCGTTAGACCAAAACAATTCGCTCTAAGCAAACTAACTTCAGTACAAAGTTGCAAATTAGTTTGAGCTCCGAAGTTATAATGTTCAGATTCTTATCGCTTTATAACTTTCAGACGGCTATTGAGGTTTTACTCAAATTCTGTACGTTGGGGCGCTTTATAGGACGAATGACACCCAAACCATAATAATGACGAATACATATATTTCCACAGAAAAAGGGAGTTTGAGTATGAAATTTGAATTCCGTTAAATTTCAATTTTAGTGATTTCGAGCACAAATGTCGAAACGAATAGCAGACATTTCATGTTTGCCTCTTTTTGAACACAAAAATTCATAAAACGCAAAAAATCGAAATGTGCTGTTCACGTCAAAGCCGTCAAACCAAACTGAACAACTTTGTACTGAGGTAAGTTTGCTTTTGTATCTAATTGTTTTGGTCTGAGGAGAATAGTAGTTTTAAATAGATCCATATAGTGTTTTTGTACGGTGGAATTCGTTATATTGCAATAATATTGACTTCTAGCAATGGTAATGGAAAGTGTGGGCGAATCTCTGCCCTCTAAGATTGAAGAGTTGTCGTTCGAGTAAAAAGTTTATTGCAAGCCTACATTTGCCTTTCCTTTTCTATCAACTACAGTTGCGCCTACCATCTTCCTCTGTCAGTAGGGAAAATGAGGAAGTGTTCATATGTCTTCCGTGAGCTATCATATTACAGATCAAAAAGACCACTGGGGGACATTAGTCTTAGCCATAGATTAACGACTCCCCTTCTCATTTTGCCGGCATTCTCATTTTTCACTAGAACTGATGAACTGATTCAATTGATATGTCGTCCTTCAAAAAACTTTGATTAGATAGAATATGGCATGTTAACTGATTCAGTCAAAGAGAGTATCACTATAGTAAAGGAATCAAGAAGAAATACAGAGTTACCAACTTGAAAATTGGCTTGAACATGTCAAGGTTTTCGAAAAGTGCCGAATAACAAACAGCCCAATGTGTGATTTTGTCCAAGTGTGTGATTTTGGGCAGAACATGAGAGGACTCGAACTTTTGTCCAAGTGTGTGATTTTAGGCAGAACATGAGAGGGCTCGAACCGCTTGTGAAGTCTCCAAATGAATAAATAAATTAAACTATTTAATGCATGATTCCTCAACAGTAACGTCATCTGTAGATTATCTTCTATATCTTTGATAGATGCCAGTAAAGGAGTCTAGCGTGTTCTTCTTAGACTACGTTGATGTGTTCTGTTCTACTGGTATACTGGTCTAGCTCGTCTGGTGTCTGGTCTGGTCTGGTCAATTGAAAAATTTCTTGTGTAGAGTTCTAGCGCTTTTAAATTCGTCGACATCTGTTTAGTCAAGCAAAGGTCCCTTATTCAGACGCAAGATGTCTCCCCAAGGCCTGTCTGTAGTTGAACGACCATTGCATTTTTTTATTCCAGGTGTTTAGCATAGGAATAGTGATTAAAGGTATATATATTTCGATGAAACATCACATAGTGAGTTGCAATGGTAAGAATGGTAAGCTAAGCTTGGTCATGGGTAATTTTTCACTCCTACTGCTATGCAACCAGCGTTCGACAACTGCGCAAACATGGTTGCATACGGAGAATTCTAGGCAAATGCGGTACTAAGCAAATTATTTAAAAGAACAAGAATAATGAGACCGCGGTTGTCCTGTTATTTTATAAAATACTGTTTGTTCATACAGTCACGCAATCCAATAACAAAGAAATTCTTTGTCTTTGTACTGAGACGTTACGTAAATACTAATATGAAGAATTTGTTTTTGAGGCGCTATCATGAATTTGATGAGCATGGAAAATTAGCATTTATGCCAGCACATAATGATTGGTCTTAGCAGTCAAATTATCATATCGAAATTATTTTTTTTCAGAACTATACTATTCTGCCCACATAATTACATAAATTAGACTGAATTAGTTACTGAAGCTGAAGGCCAGATGATCAGTACCTACCTACAGATTTCAACTAAATATATGGAATAAAACGACAATGGAGAAATAAATACTTTATTTTAAACTTCCGTGTCTCGATTGACTTCTCATTGTTGAAAACATCTCCGTCTACTGCTCACAATTTAATATATTAAAATATAAGATAATTATAAAAATGATTTCCTATTTCATGTAATGTACATTTATTTACATATTATGTAGTAGGTATTGCATATTTCACTTTATTTTACATAAATAGATAACTATCAACAAACTATCAATTAGAACAATAGGTAGGTACTAAATGAGAATAAAAATTTGTTTTTTATATGTAACAATACATTGTGAAATTGAGTCGGATAATTAAAAGGAGAAAGTTTCATTGAAGAAATCTGTCAAACCACTTAGAAGGTAACTCATTCAATGAATAAGCAGAATGAAAATTATCTCAATGAATGTTGGTATGAAGCATATTTTATAAAAAATGTATTTATAGATTTCATCACTTTTAGTTTGAGATCTGCTCAAAACTTTGCTCACCGAGGAAATTGGAAATGCATTCAAAAACTATGAAAACCTTAATTGATTTGCATGAAACTTCAAGAGTAATATGTAATATGTCCATGTCCTCAAATATTTTCAAACTTCGTCCAGAACATATTCGAAGCTTACCAAATGAGATTCCTAATCAAATCAATAATTGACATGGAAAAATAATTTCAATCAAGAGCCATTCTTTGGCAGGATTCTTTGTTTTTCTTGTTGAAATAAAATGTCATAACCATTTGACTAGAGGATAACTATGGAAATATTCACAATATTCAGTCAAACGAAAAAGCTGAATGTACATACATTAACAAAACAAAAATATGTGTTTAAATCCAAATCAACCTGATTAATTTTTTTTTTCAATTTCGATATACTATTTACATTCTGGCACTCCTCATTTTTTAAATGAAAGGTAATAACAGTAACGTTGAGGATGATAGTTATTAAAACATTTTCGAGATATACAGGTAGGTAACCAAAAAACGATAAAAATCACAAAGAACAGGATTAATCATCTCCGCACTATAATTCAACTCAATTTGCGTTGTGTTGGCCTTTTTTCACAATCTTGTTCAACACCCAAACCAGAATCAGAATGTTCGTGATGAACTCTATTGAAATTAGGGAAATTATCTTTCACAGAATTATAACCTCCATAATAGCCCGAAGGCTTCAGAGGCTCAGGAAGTCCTATGTTGACTTCGCGATGTTCAGGATACGAGAAATTAGTGAGGGCCTCATTCAACATGTTATTAGTATGATTATACATAGGCTGGGAATACGTAGAAATACTACTTTGACTTTTATTGTCGCTTCTAGAAGAATTTGAGTGCTTCAACTTCACATTCTTCGAGTAGTTTGTTTGAACAACAGTGTATGGTATTTCTCTCAATTGCAAATCACTCATGCCGGCCGTCTCCACTAAATCGAACTCTAAATGCCTTTTCAGCTCATTTGGCAGCCATGTTTTAGGATCTGCAGGTGATCGAGATCTAGAACGATGTTTTCTATGCCTACTTTTTCTGCTACTAGTCGTATTATAATCTGTCTCTGCTCTTTCTCTACTTCGCCTACTACTGACCACGTTAGCTTTCTGAATACTGTTCGAATTCGAGTCTCTGATGGAAATGTTTTTCTGGATCTCCTGCCATTGTGAGCCAGAGTCTACCAATTCATAGTAGTTGTCACTTTTTGACCTCGCCTTTCGTTCTGTAGACTTACACTCGTATTCTGAACCAGAATCCTTCTTACCACTCTTCGATCTTCTTCTTCTGTGCTTCCTTCTAGACCTATTAGAACTTTTGGAAAGCTCACTCTCATTATCAGAAGTCCTGCTTCTATGTCTACGTTTTTTGCAATTCCTTGAATCATTTGAACTTTGGCTGTCCACCGAAGATGACCTGAATCTTCCAGACCTCACAGAACGTGGACTTGGGGGTGCAGAACTATTATATAAGCCTTTGGAGTGGGGTTGAGACCAGGGGGCACTTCTCGTACTACGCGGTGAATCATACTTCTTCGCATTATTATTGTTCACCCCATAAGGCGAGTCGAAATTGTCGACTGGTAATGGCAGGGAGATGTGCTTGATTTCTTGTGGATGATACTGTTTTTTAATTGGCTCCGACAAGATCGCATTGTCGTTGCTAGTAATATTGTGCCGTCTTGAGTACTTTCTCGAAGGTTTTCGAGAAAACGAAGGCGGTTGCCTCAATTTCATCTGTGCATCTCTTACAGCTTGTTTCTCTGTCCTTCCACTATATCTGAACCTTGAACCGAGCGCAAAGATATCGGGAGATGTAGGGGTAACTTGAACAAGTCTGAAGAACGCGTGATGTTCGATACAGCACTTCCACAAATGTTTACATGCCGACTTTGAGGGTGTTTCGAACCCGTAAGTACACTCGTCATTGTTTTTGTCTGTCACTCTCAGCATAAAATAACGTCCTTTGAAATAAATTTTGGTAATTCTGGGCCAGTAATAGTTCCCGACAGTGTTTTTGTTTCGAAGCACAATAATACCACTGGGCGTAAGGCCTAGGAAGTATTCCACGTGATCCTCACCTAAAACAGGGTGCAGATCGACACCGTAGTTTTCTAACCACTTCACTTTGTCCAGGTAGTTGATTTCAGCCTGTGATGGCATTTGACCTACTAAAGTTTGATGTAGTTCAGCGATTCGCATCTCAAGTTCCACACTCTGGTTAGGTAAGAAACGAAATTCGGAAACGTAGCCAGGACTATGTCGTCTAGGATCGAAATCACCCAATTCCGACTGCAAAATTAGGGCACCCAGCTCTGCGGTTAGATCAAAAGGAACCAGAAGTCTGCCTTGCAAAATATCTTGTTTTATTTGTAGAAAAAACTGGTATCTAGTGATTTCTTCCAGGAGTTTGCAAGGATCTGCTGCATAAAATTTCACACCGAAGTAAAGTGTGTATGGGTCGGGTCCTTTGATTTGTTTGTTCAGTTTCTTCGTCGGATCTAACCAGTGAGTTTGTCCATTTTGATCGAGGTACCGAAGACCAAAATAAGCTGTTTCTAACAGGTTGAGGTGTCGAAATACTACATCTAGTAATGCTTGTCCATTGCTGTTGTTTTGTAACTCGTGAACTAGTTCTGTTTCATCCAAAAATACGATCTTACAATGTACGGAGTACACTTTAGAACAAAAACAATCCATTATCAGCTGAATCCAGGTGCCACTATCGAGTATCACCCTGAAACAAAATAAAATCGGTCAAAACACTATTCGTTTCACAAACAAAATGACTAATCTTACCATTTGAATCAAGTTCACATATTCAATTATGATTAGCCTTGTAGGTTGGTATTAGAGGTAGAGGTGAGGGCAACCACCTCTAGAAGTTCACTAGTGGTTCACTGCACACTGCATACTGAAGAGTTATTTTGACCACGATCGGCCAATGATGGCCTGCATTGTCTTACCAAGTCTTACGGTTTCCCTTTCCACCTCACATTTCTAACAGGTGAGTCTTATTATAACGATACACAAGAGATACAATACTATATCGGTCCGCACAACAAGCGAAATAATGATTCATAAGTTAATGTGATAACACACAGCTTGTTACTTGTTAGACAATCGACCATAGACAAAAACGTTCTGTTGCTAGCTAATTCGTGAGTGAACACATTTAGAGATGAAGAGAGCAACAGTACAAGAGCAGTTAGCATTGAATATATTTCAATGCTTTTGATTCTTGTTGAATGTCGGAAAACAGCATTCGTTTTACCTGTTATGTTAGGTATACCTGGGTATGCCTACGGGGAGTGGGCAAAAGATTTATGGCTCCAGCTGATAAGAGATATACCACCTTAGGTATAATTTGAAAATTGTTTAGAATACAATAAAGTTCACCCACAAATTCAAATTGTGAAGCAGTGGCGGACGTTCAGTTCTGCAGAGTACCCATCAGCCTGATGTAATTTTACAGTAGTACTCTGCTTGGGTATATAGTTTATACAGCGTCTATAAAGTAACGCATAAATTCATTTTTGGCTGAATAAACAATTGAATTAGGATTTCCTGAAACAGATCGATTTTTCATTTTAATTTATTATTTTCTCAAATCATAATCTAATATACAGGGTGATTCACCTTCGTGTAATTACGTCATCAAAATGGAACCCTCCTTTTCTTCAATTTCCGGATTGTTCTTGCTGAGCTGATTGCAAAAATGTATAATACGTTGCTTCAAATTGGTACAGGGTAGGACATTTCATAGGAGATGAGATTTTGTGATAATATTGAAGTCATTGCGTGATATCCGATACGGAAATAGAATTGATGGCATACAAAGTACCTCTTGATGTATCTAACACAGTGAAACAAGAGCAACTTTGTGTTATAAGAAAATATTGAGCAACAAGTGGGGAAAGTTCAACTTTTCTCACGAGTCCGAAAGTTTGTGGCACGAGCCTGAAGGGCGAGTGATGCAAACACACGAGTGAGAAAAGTGCTTTTCCCCACATGTCACACACAATACTTTTTCTACAACTGCACTTATTCAAAGAATCCGAGTAATGTAACTTATTAATTGGTATATTCATTTTATAATGTGGCACTATGCCATGCACATTGAATATTGTGACCAAAGAGTAGACGCCTTTCCTAGTTTTTCAAAGTATTACAAAAAAGTACACTTTCCGAAAAAGATTTTGTTTAGATTCTATAAATTTTTCGTATATGCCGATTCATACTTTATTCTTGAAATTTCCGGAAACAAATCCAACTTTCGCAGCTTTTTCAATTATCTCTGTCTCTGGCGGTGTATTTATCAAAATCGTCACATCTCGGTATACCGGCTGTCAACGAATGTATTAGACAAGTCATAGCTTCTAGACCATTGGGTGTATCAACATGAGATTTGGTATAGGTAAATGGTATGTGAAGAGTAGAGTTTCCACATATTTTTCACTTGTCGGTCACTTCCGGTTTCACCGGAAATGGCTACGGTTATAAATTTTTAAATGGAACACCCTGTATATTCTAACATTTTTGGATTTCTGAGACAATTCTAGATCAGAATGTAACAGTTTCGAAAGTTTTTATGACTACTTAATTTTTTCGTAGTCACTTTTGAAATTACATCTAGGTGGCCATGATTTGAAGTAAACTAATCTAATGATCTCAGGTGATATCAGAAAATTACAATCGCGATGTTTTAGTGACAAGTATGATAGATATGAATAAGACAAGTTGGCAAAATCACATTTTCGTGTCTAACTATTATTTTTCAAATGGCGACCATTTTTTGACAAGCACTTTCCGAAAAAAGGATATTTTGACGAATCTAACGATACTAATTTATTTGCGATTGGATTACAAATAAGAACATAAATTGAATATTACTGACGAAAATACTTCATAATGATTTATTTACTTTTGTCAAGTGTGCCATGGATAATAATTCATTTACTTTTGTAAGCACTTCCCGAAAAAAGGATATTTTGACGAATCTAATGATACTAATTTATTTGCGATTGGATCAACAAATTTAACAAAATTAACAATAACTTCAGCGATTCACTTACATTGTTTTTTTCCTAATTTCTTAAGATTTTCACTATAGTAAATTTTCAAAGTGCATTCCTCCTTGTTCAAGACACATTTCAGCTCGTTCAATTGTCTCTCTCAACACGTTTCGTAAAATTTGTGGCATAATACTTCTAAATGCCTGTAGAATCCTTTCTTCTAAGATTCCGAGAGTGGCGTGGGCTGTCGCATAGTAGTCCCATTCTTTAACATATCCCAAAATGAAGAAATCTAGCACAGTCAGATCCGGTGAGCGGGCAGGCCACCGTACTGGTCCATTGGTTGCAATAACTTGATTATTGAAATGCTCTATTACATACAACTCAGCAGCATTCCTTGAATTTCTGTGACATTCTCCAAACAATAACATCATATCCACTTTTTCACTTTGAGTATACATTATTTCGACGGAAAATTAAACTGAAATTTAACGAAAATCAAGAAAATTTTACCTTCTGCTCTTGAAGCTTATGTCACTGTTATAACCTAAGTGAGTGTTTTGTTCTCCCACTTCTCTCGCGAAGACTTGATCGAAATAACCGCAAAAGATTATGCATCATGCCTATCCTCGGCACACTTGACAAAAGTGAATAAATTATTATGAAGTATTTTCGTCAGTAATATTTGGTTTATGTTCTTATTTGTAATCCAATCGCAAATAAATTAGTATCGTTAGATTCGTCAAAATATCTTTTTTTCGGAAAGTGCTTGTCAAAAAATGGTCGCCATTTGAAAAATAATGGTTAGACACGAAAATGTAATTTTGCCAACTTGTCTTATTCATATCTATCATACTTGTCACTGAAACTTCGCGATTGTAATTTTCTGATATCACCTGAGGTCCTTAGAATAGTTTACTTCTGATCATGGCCACCTAGATGTAATTTAAAAAGTGACTCCGAAAAAATTAAGTAGGCATAAAAACTTTCGAAAATGTCACATTCTGATCTAGAATTGTCCCAGAAATCCAAAAATGTTACAATATACAGGGTGTTCCATTTAAAAATTCAGAACCGGAGCAATTTCCGGTGAAACCGGAAGTGACCGGAAAGTAGAAAATATGTGAAAACTCTTCTCTTCACATACCATTCAACAATACCAAATCTTATTTTGATACATCTGATGGTCTAGAAGTTATGACGTGTCTAATAGATCCGTTGACACCCGGTATACATCATATTATTGGTCTTTATGTTACAAATTTATGTACACCGCAAAATAAAACAATACACATAATTAATAAATAATATTAGGTATTTATTATGAATTGTTGGAATGATATTTGATGGAAAATGCGGTTTCTATCAAAAGCACTTATGAGAACGACCCTAAAGAATTTAAAAAACTTCTTCTGACAGTTGTGACAACTATTTAAAGCTGAACAGCAGCCATGTTTTGGTCGATTTTTGTTGATTCTCCATGGAAATGTATGTGGTGTTGGCAAAGTGCCATGAGAAAGAATATTTTTCACAGTATGAGCAATACATGGTTTTGAAACTAAGTAAGCTATGAGAAATGCGCTACTTTTCATAGCAGTAGTAGAAAAATATATTTTTTCTACAACTACCATATTCTACATTGATAACATATTGATGAATGAATGATGATGGATCCTAACTCATTATTCAATAGCACTCGATCAATCACAGATTCAGAATTTTCAGGATCCACGGGAACTGAAAGGTTTAGACATGGTTTAGACAAATGACAAAACAGCAAATTCATCAAACAAATTTCTCAAGAGGGCTTTGCCTCATTCAACGTGTCACGGCTTGACTTCTGCTAATGTCAGATTTACTTTTTTTCAACTTAGATCTGTCACGTTCAAAATATAAAATTAATAGTTGTGATTGGGAAAGCAGTGTTGAGAATAACCAGATCTGTACACCACCGGATTCATTGGAAACGACGAAACCAGCAGCCCTGAAGGTATTGCCGGAAAAATCAAGAAAACAATATTCGAAGGCATACCGGAGCTCATGGATTGGCGAAACTTGTACCAAGCACATTCATTATCGGAAAATGTCTGTCTCGCTGATTCAACAAAACTGTCTGAGAACAATCCAGGTCAACACCGGATTGTGTAACAATTTTATAGCTTCACTTTGAATAGGCGAATGGACAATTTTTTTTTCTTGAATAGAATCATCACTCAAATACCTTTCAATTTCATAATTTTTCAGAATTTTGGGGTCGATTTTTAGGTGCTAGAATCATCAATAATGCCACGGTAATTTTCAAACGGATAGAAATTTACCGCGGCTAAAAACTGACCTCACGATTTCGTAAGTAGGAGCAGACCTATGCACAGTTGCCGCATGAGTTGAAATTCGATTGGGAAGAAATATTAGTTATTCAAACATTCATAAATTCATGAATTGATATTTTTTTATGGAGTATTATAAATATTTGGACATGCTGGTTGCTCGAAAAACTCAAGAATGAACTATAATTGAATGGGTTCCTCCTATTATGTTTTATTCAAAGACAGAGGATTCTTACATGTTTTTGATAACTTGATTATGATTGGTGACTTGACTACCTTGCTTCGTGAGCGGGAATAGAACATGATCTGACCAATAAAAACGAAACAGCATAAAAGATGACGTCACCATTTATTCGACGTATCGCCAAATGGTGGCCATGACCCGATTGGAGAGAGTTCAAAATAATTTTGTGAGATTTCTGAACTTTAGAGTGAACAATTCATTTGTTGTAGAGAGTATTAACCAAACCAGACGCTCTTTTGGACTTATAACCTTGGAGCAACGTAGAATTATGTCTGATTTATTATTCATCTATAAAATAATGAGGAATCATTTTAGTTCTTCTATGTTGTT